ATTAATGTTCCGTCGTTTGCATTATACACATAAACACGAATATCGGCCGCAATTATCAATTGATCGCCTTCTGGACTGAACGCCAAGTCATATATACTATTGACAATCAAATAAGTTTTACAATAGTTTTCATAGCATATTATGATAAGACATTTACCACAACTGATTTCCCTCCCGATCCTTGATCTGATCCACCCATAAGAGAGAACTTCTCATTTCAACAGTTAATTCTATTTGAATTTTAATAATCACAACAATTTTAAAAATAACTTAGAGATCTAGAATTGACTTTATATTAGTTTTGTTGTTAGAAATGACAACTCGTATCCAATAGTGATTTAATGTTTTTAATGGAAACAAATTTATTTTCATCAAAAATATCTACCTTATAGAATCGTAATTTAATCACAATTTAATTGATTATAATCTAAATATTGATACATTAAATAATTTATTCAATAAATCTTTATTGCATAATAGTTTAATATGTTTATTTAACAATAATATAATTATTAATGCAAATATAAATTATTATGTTCTGTTACTTTGTTTTCAAAACTTTTTTTTAAAAATATTTTTATTTATTAGTTTATTTGACAATATAAACGACATAACAATATATTAATTTAAAGTATTTGATAAGCGTTCGTAAAATGCCCGCTCAATCTTTATACCATAATGATTATACCCAATCAATTCATTGTATATAAATTAAATGCACTTCAAATTGCCGTTCATTTAAAATACGATTTTTAGATAGATATTTGCAAACTATTGTTATGAATAAAGAGTTGTATTACTGGCCTTATTTGGGATAATAATTACAATACAATCAGAATACCCTTTGAAGGCATTAGTTTTGGCCTTCGTTTCCAAACAGTTCAATAAAAGTAATTCACTGAATGGTAAAAGAGATTCAAACCCAATGTCTAATACACCACTTAACCCACGAATTTCTTCTCATATTTTGACTAATTATCAGAAAAAAGTATTAGAATATACTTTTTGGACCAATAAGTATCCAAATGAAAGCCTACTCTTTATTATAGCCCTCGAAACGAGTCTTTCTATTTATGAAGTAAAGGTAAAAATATACCCACGATTATAGTTATTTCTAAATACTTTACTATTAGTTTATATTTTATTATATAATATTTGTATAATTGTTTTATTTATATTTTATAATCAACTTTTAATAAGGGATTATAATGCTGTGATGCTATGTATACAGTAATTTATATTTAGTAAAAGTTAATAATAAACACATTAATTAGCGGTAATTATAACAGAAAAGTTAATTATATAGATAATTGATATAATGTATAGCAATGTTATTTACAATACAATGCCATTGAATACTTGAATAATGTTTATTAATAATGTTTTAAAGGATTGGTTTCAAAATCGTTTGAGTGAATGGAGAAGAGAACAGGGATTTCCAGCCGTCACCAGAAAAATATATCAAATCAATTCAATTCATTAATTCAATCATTTTATTAGTATTACAATACAATACAGTATCACATCTGAGATTCAACTCTTTTATTGCAACTCTTTTATACTTATGTTTAATTTTTTATTTGTAAAACATTTACAAATTAATATAT